AGATTACATTTTTGAACCAGTTGATGATTCATTACTTCTTGGGCATTCCAGTAGAGCTAGAATGCCACCTGAGTTCTATGGTTTCCATATTACTACAGATGGTGATATGTTTATCAGTGACAGTACAGTGGTAAATTTGGATGAACGGGCTAACTACAAGGAAGAAATGGTAGGCCTTGAGGCAGCCAAATGGCAAGAGGCAATGGACAGTGAGATCAAGTCCATGTATGACAACCAAGTTTGGAATTTGGTCGATAATGTACCAGGTCGAAAGACAGTTGGATGCAAATGGATCTTCAAAAAAAAGATCGACATGGATGGAAAGGTACACACTTTCAAGGCTCGACTGGTTGCGAAGGGCTTTACTCAAACCCCAGGGGTTGACTATGATGAGACCTTCTCACCAGTGGCTAAGATAAAATCTATTAGGATAATTCTTGCCACACCTGCGTTTCATGACTATGAAATTTGGCAGATGGATGTCAAACCCGCCTTCCTTAATGGGAAATTGGTTGAGGATGTTTACATGAGTCAGCCACAGGCGTTTGTTGATGCAAAGTATCCAAATAGAGTTTGTAAGCTTGAGAAAACAATCTATGGATTGAAATAAGCATATCGCAGATGGAATCTTTTCTTTGACGAGAAGGTCAAGGAGTTTGGCTTCGCTATAAGTGAAGATGAATCCTATGTTTATGTCAAAGCTAGTGGGATTATACTGACCTTACTAGTATTGTATGTTGATGACATACTTCTTATAGGAAAACACATTCCAACTTTGCAAGAGGTTAAGTCTTGGCTTGGAAAGTGTTTCGCTATGAAGGATCTAGGAGAGGCTGCTTATATTCTGGGGATAAGAATTCTAAGAGACAGGAGTAAAAGACTAACCGGACTTAGTCAAAGTACATACTTGGAAAAGGTGCTAAAACGTTTTAGTATGGAGAGTTCAAATAAAGGGGAACTGCCTATCTAGAGTAATACCAAACTGAGTAAGACTCAGAGTCCGAGTACCAATGCAGAGATAGCATAAATGAGTAGAGTTTCATACGCTACCGCCGTTGGATCTATAATGTATGTTATGACATCTACTCGCCCTGATGTCTCCTTTGATTTGAGCATGGTCAGTCGTTATCAGGATAATCCAGGTAAAGCTCATTGTATAGCTGTTAAGAATATTCTCAAGTATCTACGAAGGACTAAGGACTGGGTCCTAGTACTTGGTTGCAGTGATACACTGAGAGTAACTGGGTATAGTGATGCCAGCTTTCAAACAGACAGAGACAACTTCCGTTCTCAATCTGGCTGGGTGTTTACCTTAAATGGAGGAGCAGTTACATGGAAAAGTTCCAAGCAAGAGACAGTGGCTGATTCTACCTATAAATCAGAGTACATAGAGGCAAGCGAAGAATCAAAGGAAGCAATTTGGTTGAAGAAATTCATCAGACATCTTGTAGTTGTGCCAACCATCAAGGATCCAATGGAAAATTTTATGTGATAATGAAGGAGCGGTTGCCTTGACAAATTAATGAAGAGATCATGGCAGATCAAGACATATCGACAAAAAATACCATTTCATCAGACATAGGGTAGAAGAAGGTCACCTCGTAGTGAATAGGGTATCATCTGAAGAGAATCCTGCAGATCCACTCACAAAGGGTCTGAGTATGGTTAAACACATTCAGCATGGTAGGAGCATTAGTCTGAGAGATCATATTAGTTTTAGTAGTTAGATAGTTAGTTTGAAACTTGTAACAAAGTAAATGTAATTGAATTTTGGTGATTAAATAATAGAGGTTTATTTATGAGTTTATTTACTACCTTTTGTCAATTGTTTATTCTTGTGTTTCATTTTTGCATGTTTTACTTCCCGAGTAATTCCATTACTCAAAACTCCACAATCGATCATACTTTTCCGAAGTAAGTAGTGAATTAAGACTGTCATGAATTGAATTGTAGATTGTCTAAAGAGTTTTAGACATAGCAATAGTATTGTTACAATGTTCATGAGTACTTAGAAATGGAGATTTAAGTATTGGATTAACCCAGGCTTAGAGAATTACTTCATGGAATTTATCACGAGTAATTCTGAGATGATAATATCTTATAATCTTAAAATGGAGATATGTGAGTTATGGTTTACGAATAAGTTGTGCATTGATGATACGTAAACGCATCAGTAACTTGATGTTATAAAATGTGTTGGCGTGCATGATTTGATGGGTAAATGGTGCAAGCATATAAGTCAAAGTTTATTCGTTCCTTTTGCCTTAACAAGAAAATCGATATCTTTAGGCCCCTCGGTGATTTGGTGTTGACTTATAGTGTCGGGCCCAACCAGGACTAAATTGATGTGTTCGATTAGAAGTTTTATGACATTACGAATTAGAAATCGGGAAAAAAAGTATTGGACAATGAGATTGATTTTGTTCCATGTCTCATGTCCGAATGATATCTAGTAAAACGGAGTATTATATGATCACTTATCTTAGGACACCTAAGTGACTGGGTCAGAGTTTGACAATGGCTTTTAGAAGCTACAATTTGCCGATCAGTTTAGAAGTTATACTGGCAATTATAATTAAAGACTTATCCAAGTTGGAGATTGTTGTATTAGGTGTCTAAATCCATAACTATAATTGGTATAAACTTGAATTAATAGTAGCACAGTCCTTTTGGGTTACCCTCAAACGTAACAACTGGACAAGATGATTTTTAGAGAAAGATGTTGATTTATTATTTGATTAATAAATTGAAATAAATAATTTATTAATATATTATTAGAATAATATATTAATTGTAAATAGTAATATTTAATTAATAATTAATTATAAATTAATTGGAATTAATTTCGTGATTAATGGAATAAAAGTGTAGGGACTAAAGTGAAATTGTTCAGTAGTTGAGCAAAAGGCTCCAGAACCTTCCACACATAGGGTGGACGGTTTTTAGAGGCATTTTAGGGTTTCTAGAATTATCCTTGGAGGATAATTAGGAAGCTAGATAATTACCAATTCAAGATAATATTATTATATTGATTTTGGGCTTATCTAGGGTTTCCTACTTGCACTATATAAAGTCCCCCTAACCTTCATCTTTCGGCCATCTCTTCTTCCTCTAGGGTTGGCCGAAATTATACTCTCCTTCCCCCTCTCTTCTTAATATCCTTCTTGCTAGCTTGGGTGTGAACCATTAGAGGCACGACGCTTGTAGTGCTTGCTTCCAAAGCTTCAACAAAACAAGGATCATTGTCATTTGTTATAATAACAATACGGTGTATAATCTTAAACCCTTTTATATGTTTTTCGAAAATAACCTAGGGTTCTTATTTTGATGTTCATAGTTATAAGTTCAATAGTGAAAACATAGATATTGTTTTAGGTTGCATGCACAGTTAAGAGTTTAAATTTATTTTGTTATATGCCTAAAACCCATCAGTCTCCAGGGTTGCTGATAACCCACAAGGCGTGCTGTTTGCCTAATGAGACTTTGTATAGTCTCCAGGGTTGCTGATAACCCATAGTTGTTTATGTGTTGTGTTGTATGAGATATCTTGGGGAACTCACTAAGCTTCGTGCTTACAGTTGTGGATTATATGTGTTTCGGGTTCTGAGGATCGCGGGAAGGCGAATGTCTGATTGTACACACTCGCTGGGAGATTTGTTACTGGGCATTATGTGGCACTCAAATACTTTGTGATGATGATTTGTATTGATAATTGTGTTTTTCCGATGATTTGGTTTATGAACAACATTTTGGGTAATTTAAAAATAAAAATTTTGGTTTGAAATTTGAGGTATTATAAATATATATATATATATATATATATATATATATATATATATATATATGTGTGTGTGTGTGTGTGTGTGTGTGTTCATAATCCTAGGTAAACTATGAACCAAAAAAGAACTATGGATTATTTTTTACAACAAAAAGAACATGTTCATTACCCACAAATGAATTTTGTTACTAATAATATCAAGGAAAATGGTCATAATACACCCTCACGACCTGAAAAATAATAGTAACATCGAATAGCTAATATTGAATCTAAAAAAATGATATTTCATATTTAAAGATGTAAAGTTAGATTCTTTGATTCGTTATCCCAGAAAACGACATTCGGTTTTAACTTATCCAACTCACCATCGAGTTAGGTCATATACAATTATCATATCATGGTTAACTAAATGAAACAACAATATGGCAAAGATTGTGTTTTCATAGTCCACGAATATAATCCCCCGTTATTTTATAATCCTGATTCCGCGCCCCTGCTGATATCACTCCCTTATCGGTTGGCAATGAGACAAAATGTGATAGAATGTCTATTTTTATCCCTAGAAACATTCCTATAGATGTGAAGAAGACCAAGAATTGTGTACAGACTAAAAAGCACACTTTGAGGTGTATTAAAGGTCCAACAAGTTATGCTCTAGTTTATATCAAAAGAAATATCAATGGAAAGAAAAAGGTTGACTAAATCAATGGGAAAAGTCAACTTTGAAAAAATGAAGATGATGCAAAGTTTTTGGATTAAGGGGAAAATGTTGGGATAATCCAGAAAAACTGGGACAGTTTTAACTGTTAACCCAGGGGCATTTTTGGAAAGTTTCTTTTTTAAAGTTTTTTGAGTTAGTTTAGGAATTTGGATTCTATCTTGTCTAGTATAAATAGGGTAACGTTTTGATGTTTTTAGTATTAGTTTCAAAGCTTTGAATCAATAAAACTTGCAGCCTAAGTAAATTTCCCAGATTTCTTGTTTCTCCCCTATTTTGGTTCTCCTCTGTTTCATTGTTCTTCTTTTTTGCACAGTGAGTTGAGCCCTGTTCTGATTTCCCTATTCAGTTTCCTTCTTTGTTTTATGACACACTTTCATAGAATCAAGTAAATTGATTCCTGAATAATCCATTCCGAAAGAATCAAGCGAATTGATTCCAACAAACCACTACTAAACACGAATGCAATCATCTAGCACCAGACAATTGATCATTGCTAAGGTTTTAAGTTGAATCCACAATAACACAATCAATATTCAGATTATGAGTGTAGATGTCTTTGTGTTGCAAAATGATCTCCTCTTTGTGCCACTCCTCCCACCTCTCCGCTAAACCATCACCTTCGAGCATTTTCACAACTTCTGACATCTTGGGTCGCTCCATTGGTTTGACTTGTGTGCACAATAGAGCTATTTGTATCAACTCTTCCACTTCATCGTCCACGTAGTTACCTTCTAATTCCTCATCCACCAGTGTCTCCAGATTCTTATCTTTCAATAGTCTTTTCACCTACACAATTTCAAACTCAATCATCTATCGAAAAAACACAAACTTATGCCTTAAATAAAGATGATATGATCGAACTAGAACCAAGGCTTGTTAACATGCTTACCAAATCAAGCAACATGACCTCGTTACGATTGTCAAGGCGAGCACGATCATAGGCCCGTTGCCCGGTGATGAGTTCCAGAAGCAAAACACCATACCCAAAAACATCGGTTTTTTATGAAGATCTCCCTGTGGATAGATACTCTGGCGCTATGTGTCCAATAGAACCACGGACATGTGTTGTAACATGAGTATCATTGTAGTCCATGAGTTTAGCCAACCCAAAGTCTCCGATAACAGCTTCAAACTCCTCATCCAACAAGATACTTGAGGCTTTCACATAACGATGAATGATCTTTGGGTCACAATGGTCATGCAAATAAGCAAGGCCCCTTGCGGATCCCAACGCTATTCGTTTCCTTGTCGACCAATCAAGTGCAGGCTGTGTATCAGGTCGATCTACAGTAATTTATCAGTTGGTTTGTTAGGTAATATGACAAGTTGTAACGGATTCTTCTATTTAAAATCGGAAAACCGTGTATTTGACCTAAAAAGCCGGAGTAGGTGTTGTTTAAGGAACATAGGGCTAGAGATATTGAAAATACCGTGTAGACAAGATACAACACTGTCATTGGCCGTATACGGATACACAATCAACTGTTCAGTTTGTGTCATGCAAAACCCTTGCAGCCGGAGTAGATTCCGATGCACCACTTTGCTTATCGTCTCAACCTCCTTTTGAAACTGTAATTCGTTACCTTGAACATAACCTGTGAGTCTCTTTACAGCCACCAGAGAACCATCACTACAAGAAAAATCCTAAATAGCTACGGAAAGTTACTATGGAATTAAAATTCATTGCTATTTTACTATGGAATATGCTACGGAATGACTTGTCGTAGCTATTTTGCTACATAAATGGTTACGAAATTGCATTATGTAGCTAAATCTTAAATAGCTACGTAAAGTTGTTACGGGATCTAAATTCATAGTTATTTTACTACGGAATATGTTACAAAATGGTTGGTTGTAACGAATTTGCTACGGAAATGGCTACGAAATTGCATTCTGTACCTAAATCTTGAATAGTTGCTACGGAATTAAAATCCGTAGCTAGTTTACTACAAATAATGCTATAAGTTTTTTGGTTGTAGCTAGTTCTCTATGAAACTTGTTACAAAATCCATGTATGTAGCTAGTTGGCTACATAATTGGCTACGAAATAAAAATACGTAGCTAGTTAGCTATGAAATTGAGATCCGTAGTTATTTTGCTAGGAAAATTTGCTACAAAGTAAAATTGTGTAGCTAATCTATTATGGAACTTGTTACAAAAAGATGAATTTGCAAAATAGCTACGAAATCAAAATCCGTAGGTATTTTGCTACATAAAATTCCGTAGTAAAATAGTTACGAAATATGATTCCGTAGCAAAATATAAAAGATTATTGAAAAAAAAAATATATTAAAAATACACAATTATCTTTGAAAACTCAACAACAAAAATAAATTATTATTTTTAATTGTTTTGAAAATTTAATTATAATACAATTTATACATTATAAATATTTTAGCTGCAATTTTTAGATTTTGATGTCATACCTTTTCTAATTCTCTTATAATGTAAAAAAAAAAAAAAAAAAAAAAAAAAAAAAAAAAAAAAGAATGGATTAATAAATTGCACTTGAGCCGTAAGGTTTGTTTCAATGTTTTATTAAGGGCAAATTAGTAAATCCACGTAACCCAAATATACTTCCTCCCCAAATTAGAGGTATCCCGTTCAAACCCATCGCCGATCCGATTGCATCTCTCCCTCTCTCAACATGTCGTCGATGTTGCTCAGCCACCCATCACGCCGGTCGTTGCTGCTCACAACATTCCGATTTCAAGAGGTATTTTTGTTGATGTGTTCTATCATGGTATTTTTTGCATAGATTCTGTGGGAGGTCGTTGTTTGTTTGCTTGTTGCTGTTCACGAAGATTATATTTGAAGATTCTGAATGCCTTTCTGTGAAATTGGTTTCATTGATTCTATTCCTCTTCCATGAGTCTATGAGTCTACTCCGGAATCAGTGATTCTGTCCAGGCAAATGCCTCTGCATTGTACGGAATGGTGATATCTTTGGGAATTAATGATTCTTGATTGAGTCTTGACTGACTGGACATGTGAAAGATCAATGTCTAACAAGGGATGAAGTGAGGTCCAACTGATCAGAGATGAAATTCAAATTCTGCAACATTGATGACCTTGATAATTTGAATTCTGAGAAGCTATTGAAGAACTTTTCAAATGATATTTGATTTCCCTTATGCTTAGAAACAGTGTTGTGGTTGGTTACTGGCATATGAAAAAAAATGCACGTATTGGATACATATAGCTTAGAAACAGTATTTAACTTTTCAAATCTCTTGTGACTGTGATCATTCATGTCCCAAGTATTGGAGGTTATTTATCCAAGTATTTTTGATGGTTTATTTCAATATTTGCTTGCTAAACTAGACTTTGACTCACTCAGGTGTGGAACTTGCCTTTTCATTGTTAGTAATTAGGTGTGTGAACTCAGGTCTGCAAGTCATATGCTGCTCTGAATGATTTTTTTGCTGCCTTTGATGGTTTTCTTTGATTCATTGATGTCTCCAAACTGGATTATTTTGCTAACCAATTGATGATTTTGTTTGATTTTTTGCAACTATAGTTAGGGCTCCATCACACACAGACATCTGGAAGAAACATACAAAGTAAATTTTATTACATAAGATTACATTATATCTAATATTGCAATTTGTAAAGACACAGACAAATATATATATATCAAAATAACTCTTTGATTGATTGGAAATATAACTCAAAAACCAATTACATATATATGTGTATATGTCTATGTATGTTGCTGTGTTTTGGTGTTTTTTAACCCTCTTGGTAATACACTGAATATATAGGATTGATAGAATCATTTTAATCCTATAATTAATACACATGAGACCCAACCACTTGTTGGTGTCCCTTACTTTGTTCCAGAAATTGTGTTAGCCTTTTAGGAGTGGAAGACAGGAGTGGAGGGAGATGATGACTTAAGATTCCAACAATCACCCCCGAATCTCTAAGTCCTTCTAGAGATTCCCGATCACCGCCAATCTTTAAGTCCTTCTAAAGATGTCTTCGATCCTGATCAAGTCCCGCATTGTCTTGAACTTGGTTCGAGCCAATGGTTTTGTGAGAATGTCTGCCTTTTGTTCTTCACCTGGAATGTACTTCACCTCCACTTGTTCCTTTTCAACACACTTACGAATGAAGTGAAACCTCGTGTGAATGTGTTTGCTTCTTCCGTGAAAAACAGGATTCTTCGTGAGTTCGATAGCTGACTTGTTATCAACTCTTAGGACCACCTTCTCTTATGCTTTGTTCATGATTTCGCCTAGCAAATCTTGAAGCCATATTGCTTGACATGCAGCCGCAGTTGCAGCCATGAACTCCGCCTCGCAAGATGATAAAGCAACAGTATCTTGCTTTTGAGAACACCATGTTATTGGAGACAACCCATAGTAGAAAATGTGACCGGTTGTGCTTCTTCCGTCGTCCGGGTCGACATTGTGACTACTATCGCTGTAACCAATGATCCGGTTTTGCCCCATCCTCTCGTACTTGATTCCATGTGACGTTGTTCCACGTAAGTACCTTAGGATGTGTTTGATTGCAACACCATGTGATTCTCTTGGATTTTGCATGTATCGACTAACAACTCCAACCGCATATGCCATATCGGGTCTTGTCTGCAAGAGATATCTAAGGCATCCTACCAACTTACGGTATTGTGTCGGGTCGATTTCGGGTTCATCTTCGGCCTTCGACATTTTGGTTCCTGGATCCATGGGAATGTGGGTCGGATTGCAATCGTGTAAACCGGCTTCTTTTAGAATGCGTCTAGCATACGCTTCTTGGTTTATAGTAATCCCTGATTCTTCTTGTTTGACTTCAATGCCCAGGTAGTAAGTTAATCTTCCAAGATCAGACATCTCGAAGTTCTTGGACATTTCAAATTTGAACCTTTTGATCATGCTCAAATTTGTACCTGTGACAAACAAATCATCAACATAGATTGCTAAAATTAGCAAGTTGGATCCTTCGTTCTTCCGGTACACCGATGGTTCTTTCATGCACTTATGAAATTTCATTCCTTTCAAAATCCCATCAAGTTTTGTATTCCATGCTCTCGGTGCTTGTCTAAGACCATATAGTGCTTTTGAAAGACGGTACACCTTGTGCTCGTCGCCTTTCCTTATGTAGCCTTCCGGTTGATACACATAGACGGTTTCTCTCAACTCTCCATGTAAGAAAGCCGTCTTGACATCCAAGTGGTGAAGCTCCCATCCATTGGTAGCGGCTAAGGCAATGAGAAACCGTATGGTTTCGATGCGAGCTACCGGAGCAAATACTTCTTGAAAGTCAATACCAGGTTGTTGTACGTACCCTTTAGCAACCAACCTCGCCTTGTGTTTGTTTATGGTGCCATCTGCATTTTTCTTCAGCTTGAACACCCATTTGAGTCCAATGGGCTTCACCCCCATAGGTTTGTTTACGAGAGACCAAGTATTGTTCTTGTTGATTGAATTGATCTCTGTATTCATGGCTTTGACCCACTCTGGTTCTTTCTTCGCCTCTTCAACCGATACCGGCTCGTCATTGGTTGCTAGGAGAAGTTCTTCAATTTCATCAACATAAAGTACATAATCTCGTAATCGAATTGGAAGCACCTTTTGTCTTGTGGGCCTTTGGTTTTGAACATTGTTCACGTTGTTGTTGATCGGACTTGGTTGCTCATTTTCTTGTACCTCTACTCCGTCTTCAATCTCGTGATCTGATTCGTTTGGTTCGTTGTTTACTTCGTTTCCTTGGTTGTTGTTTGCCTTATCTTCCGGTAAATCCCATGGTACTATGAATGATCCTGGTTCTTCATTGTCAGGTGTAGCTTCGTTAACCCAATTCCATCCTTTGGTTTCATTAAAAATAACGTCTCGATTTACGATTATTTTTTGTGTAATCGGGTTAAATAACCGATAGGCTTTTATACCTGGTTCAGAACCAAGATGAACCAATGGTCTTGATCTTGCATCCAATTTTTTCACGTTTACCGGTTCAACTTTTGCATACGCTAAACACCCAAAGATGCGTACGTTCTCCAAATTAGGTTTTCTTTTATACAACTTCTCGTACGGAGTTGTATCACCAAGTACTCTTGTGTAAACACGGTTGACCAGGTTTGTGGAATGTTTTACCGCTTCTCCCCATAGATAGTTTGGAACATGCATCGCCTTCATGATACTTCGTGTCATGTCCATAAGTGTTCTGTTTCTTCGTTCCACAATACCGTTTTGTTGTGGTGAATATGGGGCGGTAAGATGGCGTTTGATTCCATCCATATCACAAAAGGAATTAAACTCGAGCGAAGTAAACTCACCTCCTCGATCACTTCGAAACACCTTTAAAGACTTTCCGAGCTCATTCTCCGCCAAAGCTTTAAATTTTTTGAAGTGTAAAAACGCCTCATTTTTCTCTTTTAAGAGAAAAATCCACATATACCATGAAAAATCGTCAATTAGTGTGAAAATGTATCGATTTTGACCCTTCGTTGACGGTGTTATCGGACCACATAAATCACCGTGAACTAGCTCCAATGGCCGTGTTGCTTTGTACGTCGTCATTAATGGAAATGACTTTCTTGTTTGCTTGCCCACCAAACAAGATTCACACAATTGATTTTCACTGTCAAATTGGGTAACCCTTTGACTAGACCTTTCTTGGACATCTTTTTCATTGACTCGAAATTGATGTGTCCAAGTCTTGCATGCCAGCGCCACGTATCTTCACTCAGTCTTGTATGAAGGCAAATAGGTACTCCAATAGGCAACTGTATTTTATAAAGGCGATTTGGAGTTCTTTGTACCTTCATTAATAAGCAGTTGTCGGCATCATGCATTGTCAAATAGTTGTCTTTCATCCGAATATCGCACCCGGCTTCGGTTGCTTGTCCGAGACTGAAAATATTATTTTTCAAATCCGGAATGAAATAAATCTCCGTTATCAATCGTTGTTGCCCCGATTTTCCTTGGAAAACAATTGAGCCTTTCCCTTTTATTTCGACACACGAATTATCACCGAATTTGACCTTTCCGGTTATTCCTTCGTCGAGTTCGGAGAAAAATGAACGATTTCCTGTCATGTGATTACTTGCCCTGTTGTCCAAATACCACACATCGTTTTCTTGTGAGTTGTATCGAGACGGTATCACCTTCTCTTCGTTCAAAAATACGGACTCGTGTAGAAATACTGTTTCATCGGCATCGTCGTGTTCAGTAAAATTACTTTCTTGAAATTTTTGGGTTCGGTCCGGACATTTGGATGCGTAATGGCCCGATTTATCGCATCTGTAACAAATAATTTTTGACAGATCTTTTTTCGGGTTACTGTTCGAGTCCGAATTAGAATTGGGCCGGTTATTGGGCTTATTATTGTTTTGGGCCGAATTGGGTCGGGTTGATTTTGACCCGGATCCATTCGAAGACCCGGCTCCACCGGATCCACCTGACCCGGTTCGATTAAAACCCCCCGAACCCCCTTTTCTTCCCTTATTCGACTCCTTCCCTCCCGACGATCCTCCGGACGAACCAGACGCTCCACCACCGCTCCAGCCGCCAGTCGATCTTGAGGCAAACAACACCTTCGCGCCACCATCTCCGCTATCATCTGCCTCTCTTATTCTCTCTTCGTAAGCTTTCAGACGTCCGACTACGTCCTCGAAGCCCACGGATTTCAGATCGAGCACCTGCTCGAGTGATGCTACCAATGGATGAATCGTCTGGGAACGACCTTCAGAAGCTTCTTCACAAGCTTCGATTCGTCTATCGTTTCACCAAGCGATGCAGATTTCGAAGCTAAACCGGAGAGCTTTCCGGTGAAAGAGTCGATGGTCTCCGTTTCATTCATCCTCAACCGATCGAAATCGGTGTTCAGGGTTTGAAGTCGGGCTTCTTTCACCCGATCAGCGCCAACGTGACGGGCCTTGATTGCTTCCCAGAGAGCCTTTGCGGAGCTGACATCCCCAATTTGCATCACAAGTGCTTCGGGAATTGCTTGATATAGTAAGCCTACTGCTAAGCAGTCTTTTTCTTCAACTTAGTTGTTCCAGGTTCGATTTCTGACCAAACCTTGTGTATACGCAGGACGACCTTCATGCGTAGAGCCCAGACAGTGTAATTTGTCTGGGTTAACATTGGGCAGGCCACCGATGTGGTTCCGACTTCCTTGATTCTCGTCGGAGGAGCAGCAGCACCCCCACTTCGATCATCT